AAAAAGTCCCTTCTCTTCTCCCCACCTCTCTCCTCACCTTTCACCCTCTCTCCTCATTTGATATTTTGGCAGCCTAGGCCAAAGTGCAGCACCGAAGATTAAAGACTACAGCCTTCAGAATGGATTATCATATATCAACATAAAGAAAACAAAAATCCTCACAAGACCAATAAGCAACTTCATAATAAAGGGAGAAAATATTGAATTTGTCAAGGATTTCATTTCACTTGGATCCACAATCAACACTCATGGAAGCAACAATCAAGACTTCAAAGAATGTTTTTTATTGAACAAATCTTCTGCAAAAGACTTCTTTAAAGTGTTTAAAAAGCAAAGAAATCACTTTTGAGGATTATGTTGTGCCTGACCCAAGTCTTTTCAATAGACTCATATCCATAGACAATTAATAAGGGAGACAGAAGAAGAATGGATGCCTTTAAATTATGCTGTTGACAAAGAATACTGAATGGACTACCAGAAGAACAAATAAATCTGTCTTGGACGAAGTAGCCAGAATGTTCCTTAGAAGTGAGGATGGCAAGACTTTGTCTCACATACTTTGAACATGTTAACATGAGGGACCAGTCCCTGAAGAAGGCCATCATTCTTGGTAAAGTAGAGGGTCAGCAAAAAAGAGGAAAACCCTCAACGAGATGGATTGATATAGTGGCTACAACAATGGGCTCAAATACAGCAATGATTGTGAGCATGGTGCAGGGCTGGACAGCATTGTGTTTTGTTGTATACAGTGCAACTATGAGTCGGAACCAACTGGGCAGGATGTAATATCAACAACAATACATTGTAAAAATCAATTTAGTGCATGATAAGTAGCATTTTTAAAATGATAGAATGGAATTGAATAGGAGAGACTAGAGTAGGATAGGAAAGTTTGGATGGAATATCAGAGTGCATTGAAGGGTATCATTTCATGAAACTTCTGTTTCAGTTGAAGGGAGTGCTCTATGTCTGTTTATAACTGGGTCATGATGTAAAATGTATTTCATATTGTAAGTTATAGTCCAAAAATTTCTACACTGCCCTACACAATTACTCTTACCAACCTTAGGAAAGTAATTTGTCTGTTCATTACTTAATCAAGCTTAGTTTTCATTTAAAAGTCTTGCTATCACTTCACTTCACCTGTACTCCTTGTCTTTTTCTCAGTTTAATCAATCTGCTCATTTAGACTAACTGTATAGCATTGATTCAGTAACATGTAGAGAGTCATTAAAAAGTCCCTTCTCTTCTCCCCACCTCTCTCCTCACCTTTCACCCTCTCTCCTCATTTGATATTTTGGCAGCCTAGGCCAAAGTGCAGCACCGACATTTTAAGATACATGCTTTTATCAACACCTCCATTTTGCCTAGACATATTTTTTTCTTGTAAACCATGAAGCAGAAGTTCCAGATTACTAAAAAAAATACTTCCCTTGCTCTTGACTCTTTCCTCCAAATGAAACTCACTATGGCTTTCCTGCTACTGTTGCTTTACTAGCTCTTTACCTTTGGATGGAGAGAAGACATTCGACCTGGTGAGCCATTGCACACTCGGAAATTCTGCTTTGATGCAATCTCATACAATAGCCCGGTCACGCTCTATGACTGCCATGGTATGAAGGGAAACCAGCTCTGGGGATACCGACAGGTAAGAGTCAGTTCACTGAAGTTATTTTCAAATTGCAGTGCCTTAAGGTACTCTAACTCAAGGTTCGAAAAACCAAGCACTTTTTTTATTTAGAATATTTCCTAGACATACATATACATATCTGGCTCACATGTCTGGAGACTGACCACCAGCAAAGATTAGGGTAAAGAAACATCATGTTGTCAGGCTAATTGTTTGTACAGCCATCACAATTAATTATGATTGAAAAATGCCTTTGAGCCAGAGCACTAAATTACAAAGGAAGGACCTAACCTTAACTCAGACATTTCCCAAACAGAGGAACCAATGCATTCAATAAATAAACTCAACTCACTTAAACTCACTGCCCTTAATGGATCTGACTCACAGTGACCCCTCCTTGGGTTTTCGAGGCAGTATCACTACGGAAGTAGATTGCCCAACCTTACTTCTGAGGGTTTGAACCACCAGCCTTCTGGTTAGCACTCTATTGCCTTAGGCACTATGCTATCAGGGCTCCTAATAAATAAATACATATATAATTTCAAGAACCCCAATTCTTTTCCCTCCCCCCATACACACGTTGTTGTTGTTATGTGCCGTTGAGTCAGACCCGACTCATAGACACCCCTCTTTGGTTTTCTGAGGCCATATCACTATGGAAGTAGATTGCCCAACCTTCCGTCTGAGTAGTGGCTTGTGGGTTTGAACCGCCAGCCTTCTGGTTAGCAGTCAAATGCCTTAGGCACTATGCTACCAGAGTTCCTCCATACACACATAGACACACACATAAACACATATATTCATTTATTGTATATCTCAGGCTCACCTATGTAAAAAAAGGGGGGGGGGCATGGGGCAGTGTCCTCTGACCTCCTCTAACTTCATGAGCATTAGAGAGAAGGATCAATAGCAACAGACCAAAACTGATTCCCATAAGTGGGAAGTCAGGCATGCTGCCACCCTCCAAACTTCTTCCCAATTCTGACACTAACTGTCCCTCTTATGGTACTCATTACCTCTCTGGTTTTGATAACTCATTGCAGTGGCCACACAGAACTCACAGATAGTATGATTATGGGGTTTATTAGGTAAGCAACAGGATACAGTTCAGGTTCAGGAATGCTCAGGGTACAATTCTTTGATCAGGACAGCCTCCTCTCTGCCACACTCATAAGCACTTCTCTCTTTGGCCCTTGGCCTCTCTACCAGGTCTCTGACATACTAGGTCAGGTGTTACAAACTCTTAGCTCCGCCCATGCCCAGAGCGGCACTCCAATTCACCAGCAAGCCTCCTGTCCAAAGGCACATAGCTTTCTCTCTGTGTGGCTGGCAAGCCCGCTGCTCTGTCTCATGCTGATCTCTGGGTTCTGCTGCGTCTGCTACTGCCTCTCTGCCAAGGAGGTGTTCAGTGCAGGGATCTTGCATCCAAACATAGACTCCATTCCTAGCTTCTTTCTTGATGGTAGTGAGATCCCTCTTTTCTGTCTCTAAACTCACTGCTGTAGAGTTGATTTGACTCACAGCCACCCCTCCCTTGGGTTTCTAAGGAGGTGTCTCTATGGAAGTAGATTGCCCAATCTTCCTTCTGAGGAGTGGCTGATGGGTTTGAACTGCCAGCCTTCTGGTTAGCAGACAAATGCCTTAGGCACTATGCCACCAGAGCTTTAAGCCTAGTGAGATGGGAAAACTGATCAATCCTCACATTAGGTTTCCATACACTTTTGCAGTCCTACTCCCACAAGTCCTATCCTTATTTATATTATTACAAGCTAAACCTTGGTGGGCCACAAACACCTTACATTTAACTCCACCCAGTCATCTGGTGAAAGTCACAAAGACCAAAGGTAGAAGAGCCATACCAAGTAATTCACTACACCGGACCTTGTCTGAGAGTTGTCTGTGTTAAGATAATTACATTTACACAAATATTTATACATCTATGGAGATAAAATTGCTGCAACTCTTATACAGAAAGATGCCTTTTTGCAATTTAGTCCAACACCTAAGTGCAGAAAAGGAAAACTTATTTGGGAAATTCAAAAGTTTTAAGAACATTAAAATAAACTATGATTGAAGGAAATGGTTCAAAAACAAATATAAAAGCACATTTTATTGAGGTAATAAAATGAGTAAATAAATTATTATTTAAAAAATTTTTCATTCTTTTCCTTTGGTAACTTTTTAGGATACTATACAAATTTGGATATTTTTACAAACTTCTTTGCTTTTTAAGGTAGGACTTGGCTGTCAGCTAGCAGACACTCCATAAATTGTATCCCTCAAATCCGCAATATTGCTAGGGGCCTTCCCAGCCAGTTGGAAGATTCTGTCTTTGGTTGTCTTTCCGTGATCTGGCAGACTCCAAACCCCCGGCTGTAAGGAAAATGTCACACCCACCATTTGAGTCATGAGCTTGGTTATCCCGTGCCTGAGACAAAGTCAATATTCCCTGGAATTATGGAAAGCAGAAGGGAAGAACCTACAGAGAATCAGTATAGGGGCTACTGGCTATGATAACTTTTCACTCACTTAATATGCTTTCTGGTATCTACCCTTTAGAGTTGGGTATCTAAAACTATATTCAAAGGCAGACTTGTCTGCACAAGTTTATTCTGCATACCATGCCCCCAACATCTGGCAGATTGTGGTTATGTGTCCATAAAGTGGTTGTATCCTTCTACAAAACAATTTTAATAAAATCAAAAGAGGTAATGCAAAGATAGCACCAGATATAATAAGGAAGGAGGAACACTGAAATAGGAAAATCCCACCTTTTTCCTCATGAAATGTATACAAAATGATTAATCCTGGCAAATCCTCTTGCTTCTCATTATGGTACATTGTGTATGTGGTACAGTAAGGTACCTTTTTTTTTTTTTTTTTTTTTAAGGGTTATATTCTCACCTTTAAGAAGTTATTATCTGGGCACATCAATAAAATGCCTGCATTGCCATTTCCCTAGTGTGCTGGTGGTCCCTAATGAACAGACCATTTCTCATTACTGTACATTTATAGCATTAGAGACAGAACACTCAATAATGTGCAATTAAGCCAAGAAAATACAGTTGTTTTCATTAGGGAACTTACAAAAGCTTACAGATGGATAAGAGCAACCAATACACAAAGCTTCTGGGTAGAAAGAAAACAGGCTGCAGTGATTTCAAGAGGTAACTCTTACAAGCTTTAACACTTTCCGGCATCCTAACCTTTCCAGCATCCTAAGGGACTGTGCTATGGCTCTTTTCTCAGATCTTTCTGAAGTTATTTGCTTTGCATTACTTAGCTAAAGGTTACACTCACTGTGTATTTATATAACAAGCAAGGTATTTATACTTAATCAGGAACATGCCAAAGGCTCAAAATGGAAAGTTTCTGAAATATCTCATCTTGGTTGATGACTCAGTCTTATTCAAACATACCTGCTTTAGAAAGCTCCTCTTGTTTATTTCAAGGGCTATGCCCAAGGCAAAAGAGAGGATATATATAACAAGAGAAATCTCTCTGTGAAGTTACCTTGTCTATTTAGATGCACTGCTTGGCCCTAGAGGCTCCCAATTGCTTAGCAATCTTTTGAGTTTGCTTTAGAGCTTCCCCCCTTTTAAACATATTCATAAATTTGCAAAGATCTGTAAGACTTCACTAATTGCTTAAAGGAATGCAATGGACCACCTCCTATTCTCCACACTTCCCAGGTAATAATCATCATCATCACCTCCAATATCAAGGAGGAATTGAGCTAGTGCTTTATGCACGTAATCTCAAAACTCATAACCACTTAAGTACTATAATTTCTTCTATAATTTTATAGAAGTTGATACTGGCAGATTTGTGGTAGAGCCAATGTTCAAATTCAGGTGAATCTGGCTTTAAAATCTCTACTCTCTCCTCTGCTACACTCTTAAGAAATCAGATCAGTATTCTCTGAGAGAATGACCCCAATTACTGGTAGACTCAGTGACACTGATACCACCAATCCTGCTTATGAAATTTCTAGGAGCGAGGTGGATCAAAGAGAGAAGTGGGCAGGAAGAAGGTGAAGGTTGTTTCAGGCCCCACTTTCTGACCCAACTTGATCCTTAGCAGCCATCTGCTTTCAGATGTTTTTAGACCTGGCTCTTTGCCACTACACACAAAAGAGAAAGGAATGCCTATTCTATAGTCTTGTAACTTTGTGCAATTGCATTATACCCTACAGTAGCAGATGTCCAGGATGAAGAATCCCATTGTTGGTTCCTTTTCACCACCAGGGGGAGCCATGTTACAAGGACGATGATTTGTGGACGCCACCTCAGTAAAACTATTTCAATTATCACCCAACATCCAAAATAAATAACATTTTTCCTTCTTTTTTAACCCCTACATCTAAATGGCTATCAAGAGTTGCCAACCCTCACCACCTCAACAACACCAATATCTATAAAAGTTAGGAAACAACTTTTCATTTCTATAGGCTTTGCTGGTTGAAGTATTTTCATCTTATCCATGGATTATTGCAATAGCATCATAAAGGTCCTTTCTCCCTCCAACGCATATTGCGTTCTGAAGTCAGAGGGAGTGTTCTACAGTATCTGGTCATTGCATTCCTCGGTTTTAAAACTTCATTTGATACCCTATTGAGTAGATCATAAAGTGCCTTCACATCCCAATTTTCAGCCTGACTCTGCACAATCAAGTTAACATAATGGTTCCCTGCCAGGCTTTAGAGTTAGTCAGACCTGTTGTTATTTTGTGCACTCGAGTTGATTCCAACTCAGCCACCCTATAGGACAGAGCAGAACTGTCCCATAGGGTTCCCTAGGCTATAATCTTTATGAGAGGAGATTGATAGTTCTTTTCTCTTAAGGAGTGGTTAGTGGGTTCAAACCACCAACCTTTGGATTAGCAGCAGAGTGCTTAACCATTGTGCCACCATAACTCCTTAGTCGGACCTAATACATCCTGATTCATCATGAAATTGTAATGTGATCTTGAATAAGTTATTTAGCATCTATGATACTGTTTTCTCATCAGTACAACAA